CGCATTTAGCTCCAGATAACTTATATGCCTGAAGGACAAAGGAAAGGCTAGGAAAGAAGCTTGGTAACAGGTAGCAGTAAAAATCTTCTGCTGGTGAATGTAGATGTCTCTTTTGCTGTTTAGGAGACTTAATTCTGAATCAGAGGCGAGTACATTCTGTTGATCCTATTAACCCCAAATAATAATTCCAAGGCCTTTGAAAGTCCTGAGAGATAGGTCTTACTCTCAGCAGAGAACAGAAAAGATAATGTTTGACTGGACCTGACCATTTTTTTTTAAACATCAACAGACTTTAGGTGAGAGTCATAAAAGAAAGAATTTTCAGTTGGCTTCTGAGACAGACAACTAATGAGATTTCTAAGAGAAGAGAGTGTTTTGAGAGAGTCTCTTTTGGGCATGTGGAGAGAGTAATGTAATGAATAAAATGTACGATGCTACTTAATACTAGGTACAATATCTTTCTATCCCACTTCACCATGTCCAGGTCACAACACCCCATGGCTGCTATTGCCYGTCTTGGTAAAAATCTGCATAGAGGGACATGAGACCAAACAGAACTGATTCCTCCAGTCCATGACTGGGGATGAAGCTCAGCAGTGAATATAGGAAGAAAGGGTCRTTTACCAACTCAGTCTTTGTTGTGCCATTTCTATATGTGAATGAATAACTGCAGTCTTAAGAGCAGTTTCTTTCATGTGTGGTGGTTACATTTAATATTGCACATAGCTTGGGGTGGGTTGATTAGCATAGCATCATCTGATCTACATTTTTTCTCAAAGGAATGCTGAACACAGTGATGCCTGCAGTGTTTCTATGCACTGATACTTTAATACAATCTGTCTTATCTTTAGTGTCTGTCTCAATTCCACATACACTACATAGGACCTAGATTTACATCAGCTAGAATATAAACTCCACGTTTACCAATTTCCTCTTGACTTACTTAGGTTGAAGACACATCCAGACAGCCAGGCAGCCTATACAAGGGGTTTCCTTGTTAGAAAAACACCTTATAACATTGTTAGATAAATTCACATCCTCTGATTAATTGCATTTAAAAAGAAAACAAAGAACTGGAAATAATAATGTTACCAGCCTGTAAATTCATGCTGGATGAAATTTTCATTTGCCTTGAAAAGTCTGCAATATTGGACAGTGAGTTTTTGTTAATGTGCTCAAACATCAACAGAGTGCAAATCCTTAACACCTTCAGGCCCTGAATTATTAGCTACTCCTATCTGGATATGTCCAAGAATCAACATATGTTGTGATGGCCTTTTCCAAAGTGCTGTACAAGAGCTGAATACTGCAACCAATACTTTAATTAAGCTAGCAGGGCACAAGCCTTATCTCCTTACCTGGCTGAAAAGTATCACTGGCAGTACTGTTATGACATAAAAAAACCCAACAGCAATAACTAATGAATGCTCTTAATATGGATGAGTCTTGGGAGAGCACAACCAAATATCTTCAAATGCAAACAGTTCTGCTCTGCCATTATTAAATGACCCCAGGCTAGCTATCAATACATATGAGCTCTGTAAAGAGGGTGCTAAAGACAGAATTTCATGATTTCAGCGTTGGCACAATGAACAACTTATAAAGAAAATGAATGCAGTGGAAATATCCGTGTTATATCGCTCCCCCTTAACAAGGATTATTTATGCAATACATAACACTGTTGGCAACTGTAAACCTATCATAGACTTAAAATTCCCGATGCGTGGGCAAAAAAAAAGGTATTTTCTAAGAAGTGAAGAGTCTATTGCAGTCAGCCTGGTAAAAGAAATCTTTTAGTGTCAGTGATAATGAAAATATGTGCTACCTATGACTGAATTAAAATGAAGTTGTGACCTGGCAATTTCTGTTCAATGCTGTCACATCCATGCACTGCACAGATCAGGATTGTCATCATGTAAATGTAATAGGATTATTTATCCTGCTTTGTTGCTCAGCTGGGAACAGTAATTCTAAGTTTCCTAGAAGTAGTGAATAGCAGCAGGGGGCCATGAATAGCTTGGAAACCTATATTTTTCCATTTATTTTTTAAATGCAAATTACACTAGTCAAAAAAATCACTTTTGTTAAAAATACATTCAGAATTAACAAATGCAAAAAGAAAAGAAAAAAAAGACACATTTGGATTGTATCTCTTGCCTTCTGAATATTTCAGTTTATAACAAAAGCCAGCCTAGAAAAATAACATTCTTTACTGGATTTTGAGGAGGATACAGCTGTACAAATCAAAAATGGCATCCAGATATTCTCACACTACTACTGTGCTCTAAACTGCTTCCAGAAGAGATCTGTCCACTAATCATTTAGTTTAGTAGTCAACAGCCCTAAGTTCTTTATAATGGTGCCCTAACTGCAACTCAAGCAGGGTTATGAATACCAACTTCATMTATGTKTGTATATATAAATATATATATATACAGTGTGCATGTGAGTGTGTGTATATCTATTCTATATGTATTATATGAATACACATTTATCATAGTAATACTTAATAGTTATATGTGCTTCCTATTTTCTAAGCACTGTACAAACATTGAGAATTCAAACCTCACAAAAAGCTGGTGAGGTGCATATTATCCCCATTTTATAGGTGGGGAGAACAAGGAACAGAGAAATTAAGGCCAAACTTTTATAAATTAGTTAGACCTAAAAGCCATGTATAGACACTTCAATAAACTGCCTGACTTCTAATATTACTAAATACCAGTAGATGCCATTTTGAGAGGAAACACAAAAAGTATGAAAACCCCTTTTTAAACTGGATCACTGCTTAAATGCCTAAACATTCTTTTTTATTCTATAAAATAATTTTATAGAAATATGATTTGGATCAAAGTTTATACAGGGAAAGCTGAAATACCCCAGTATGACATTTTTGCTACATTTAGACCTTTACATGATGTTTCATATTATACATCTGCTATACTTAATATAACATAAAATTAGAAACTTTCTAGTTTATGGAAAATTTCAGCCTGACACTTGGACTTGCATGATTTTCCAGGAGTGATAAAGCAGCTCTACCAAGAATCAGCAGAGACATTTCACATTTGAAAATTCAAATTTGGGATCCAGATCAGCTAAGAATACTTTACTGGATGAGGCTGAAGTGTCTTGCCTGATTCATGCAGGAAATCATTAGCAGGATTTGGGACTGGAATCCCTGGCTGTACGAACAAGCTATTTCTTGGACTATGCAGCCTCAAACATTAGTTTTTTCTTGTGTGTTATATATACACACATACACACACACACACACACACACACATATATATATAGATTAAATCTCACTGAATAAATGTAACTATCGATCCTGAACATTCAGTTCTGAATATTCAGTCCTGTATCTTATTTTCTGCAGTGAATGCCTGTTCCTCTTTCATTGTCCAGAGTTCCTGTCTGTGATATATTATATCCATGCAAACACAGCAAAGGACATCATTGGTTTGTGTAGGGATGGATATGTGGAGTTAGTGCACAGGTCATGGGAACTCAGAAGCTGCAGGACACGATGGTTGGGTGAGCAAGGAAAAGGGCTCAAGCCTTTCCAAGTGCTAAACCTCCCTCTCACCCGCAAATTTAATCACCCAAGGTATGGTAGGTGTGTGTGCCTGRGCAACTTCTGAGCAAAGAAACAGCGATGATCCGAGTTCCTGAAAAGCCTGAGCAAAATCTTTTCTCCTCCTAAAGAAAACCACCTAAGTGCTTGAAAATACAGATCAAATTTAGAACAAAACATATGTTCCTAGGATTTCAGAGTATTTCATATACACATTGACCTACTAGCAAAATTCCCAAAGGCATCTTGTTGCCAACTACGTAACAGCACAGTTTTTTTTTTTTCAGCCACAATAATACAGGAAGATAAAATACACATTCTAACACACAACAGATCCCCCAAATATACCACAAAAAGATCTTCAATATTTCATCAACTCAACTAGTCCCTCCCTGCCCTACCCCAACCAAAATGAAAAATAAAATATGTAGTTCCCTTATGGTGCAATTAGAAAAAAAATGCTCACTTACAGAGAATTTTCAGTTGAAATTAGATATAAAAGAGTAAACATAGCTAGTACATATTCCGTTGGCCTTTGTCAATAGAAATCTGCAGATGTCTCTGTAGTTAGTAAAAGACATTTAGAGATAGCTATAAAAGCACCTACAGTGCGATAAATAAAACAGCGGGATTAAGAAGCACTGTTTCTGCTGCTTATTTCCAGTAGGTTCGGTTATTAGTTTATGTTACCCCTTTCCCCACCCCAGCCCCCGAAAGATCTAATTTCTTTTTCTTTTTCTCATTATAAACCGTTTGTATCTTGACCACTGTGGAGCCTCAAAAGTAAAGCACTTTTCTGACAGCTGGCAGTTTTCTACTCAGTCGCTCTGGAGCTGAGGAGCAACAGAGCCTTATTCCCTGACATGAAAACAAAACAGAACAAAACAGATAAAACCACTGACTTAGAAATCGTTCAGAATTAACAGCAGCATGTTGAGCCTAAAGGATGTTGCTTCAGAAAGCTTGCACCAAGCTTCTCCAGGGTGCAACTCAGTGGGGTTAAGGCAAGTATGAGCTGTACAGCCTTCAGGGCAAACAACGTGCTGTCCAGTGACTTCCATCCAAGGTCATCCCGGCGCTTTTATCATTACGTTGGCTAAGGAGACTCGATGCGGCCAGGAGGGCGAAGGGGCTCCGAGAGCACCCCATGGGGTGGGTTCATGTCTTAATCTGGATGCACAGGAGTGGTGGTGTCCAGGGCAAGGAAGAGCCAGGAGATGGCACCAGTGCCTGTGCTCTGACCCTCCGGTGCCTGGTCGTGGAGGGCTGGGGGGCAGGAGATCCAAGGTGCCGGTGCTGGGCATCTCCCTCTGTATCTGGGAGAAAGAGGGGCTAAACGTGCCCCTTGTTTTTTGTCTCACTGTTCAATCAGCCTTTCTCTCTCTCTCTTTTTTTTTTTTTTTTTTTTTTTAACACAAAACCTGGGTTTTTTTGCTCTTTGTGGAACCTATGGGGCCATCCTGAAACAGTTTCTTAATCAGGTCCTCCAGCCCCTGTTGAGCAGTCCCCATGTTTACTTTGACCTATGAGAGAGAGGAAAAGAAAGATATTTTTAATCCAACATAGAGACACCAGATCACCACCCTTCAGCTCCTGTGCCCCTCTGCAAGCAGGTGTAAGCGGCCAACTGGTTCACATACAGGTGGGATGAGGCTGGCAGAAAGGAAATGCTATTTGCTCAGGTGATCTTTTTGACCAGTTTTAGAACATCATCAAAGAAGTCAAGGTAGGTTTTCCAAGCCATTTGAGGCAGGAATGATATTTAACTATATACTTTTGCCAGATTGCTGACCTTTATAGCTGGAAGATGACCTGAACAATAATGATCCATCAAGAATGCAGCAATTTTTATGAAAACAAGTGACACTGGGCAGAACTGAAAAGCCGATTAATGGGTGCAAGGGTGGATTGCTCCAAGGCTCACTCTCAAAGCAGTGTGCAGGTGTGAGTGCAACAGTGCCTGTAAAGCTAACAAGTGCCATGGTTAAACTTGCATTTTTAAATTGCCTTTTACAGTCTAWAATACCCAAGTTTTTTGCTCATTCCTAGATAGGATGTAACTGGTGGTTTATTCAAGTGAAGTGTTGGCCATGGCATCTGAATTCCACATACATGAGTCTGGGAAACTCCAACTCAAGGAAACAATATCATAGCAGATTTTTTTACATCTTGGATATGCTTAATGTTTTGATGGATATACATTGGCTCCTCTTTTTTGTGTCCTGTTTATTACTCAAGTGTATGTGGAGTCATCTTGACAAATACCTTCAACTTTAGACTAGGATGCTGCAGATGTAAATACATCAAAATACAAGAGAAAAGATGGAAAATGGTACTAACGCAAATGCACACACACACAAAAAATCCCAGTTATTCCCTTCAACATGTGACTCCCTCTACATTTGGAGGAAATTAGGATAGGGATATAGACAGAAACTACTGTAAAGTAATTACCCTCTAATGAAAAAGTAATGCCTACAAATAGTTTTGTGTAGCATGAACACACATAAACAGGCACATATATATGTGAATATTTAACTGTGTGAGCATGCAAGTGTCTATGTATGTCTATAATATATATATAATACCTATATATAATGCATGAATTCTCAGACTTCACAGAGTATAAGGCAAGCAAGCTTCACTTCAGGGCTGAACTACTCTTGAACAATTTCTCTCGTGCATTAGACATCACCATCAGACATGCAAGCTTTTCTTTTTTTCTTCACCACTTTTTTTTTGAATAAATAAGTTTATTGTGAAAAACAGAAAGAAAAATCTCTCTCCCCTCCCTCCTTCCTACTATTTTTAGAGCAGTGTTCATGCAGTGAAGTCTTGTTACACGTCTATAACTGTACTTTTTTTTAATGCGCAGCAAAATCAGTGCCATAGAGCAGCTCTCAGTGTTTAATCACCTTCTTTGATCACCTCCCAAAAGGTATCTTGACAAAAGACTTCCACCATCTTATTGTGTTCTTGTCCCACTGTCTGGAAATGAGCACTAGCACCTTCCACGCAGGATGCCAACAGGCTGCTGTTCTGGACATCACCCGTGGCTCGCTGCGAGGAGGTGCAGGAGCAGCAGCTCTGGCTCCTTCTGCCTAGAAAGCGTATTCGTTTTGAAGGGACTGTCTAGGCTTCTTGGCTTGTACAGCACAGAGCACACTGTTGGCACTTCAATAACAAAAATAGCCATTTATGTCTAAGGTAGATAAAAGTCATGATAATCCCCCATCTCCACCCCCAAACCAATGTTTCATTTAGATCATATTTTTAAATTGAATACATTTCGCTCCTTAAAAATAAGGTGATGTAAATTAAATGTGAAATTGGGACAGTTAAGGAGAAGGAGAGCTGTCACAGGAATTCAAAGCCTAAAACAGAGAAAATAAACAAAGTGAATCTGATTCTAATAATTCCATCTATTTAGGAAATAGTAGCCAGAGAGTCATCTCAATTCRCTACCTATAAGCAATGTTTCCTTCTTCATAAATCAGTTTAAGTATCAAGCATCTTTCAATAATTCTTTTTTCCTGAAGTGCCCTTTTCATTTATGTTAGTTTTACATAACTAATCAAGCTCCATATTAATATGCTATGAAGCATTTACATTGAGCTCAAATATTCTTGTAAGTAAAGCTTAACTGCTATTGCAAATAAAAAGTAAAATTAGTAAGTAAAAAAAAAAACTGACACAACAGAAATGAAAAAGTGAGGGATCTGAATAAATCAGGATAATTATTTAATTGCACACCTAAGTTTGTGCAGGTTCACCATAGCTTTCAAATTAAGAACATGAAGTGCTAACTTTAGCACATAAGTGAAAACTGGTTGCAACATTGCTGGCAGTTAGTAAGACCTAGCATTCCTTTAGGATAATAATTAAACTGTGTGTGTATAGGGCAGTTAAAGGTGATCTTTACTTCCCTGGATATAAATTAGTCTTGCTGGAATAAAAAATTGTGTTGATGAAATTATCTCACTAGGAATTATTGACTACGGCAAGTCACCTCTGCAAACAGGATGTCAGTGCTGGCTGAGAGCTCCCACAGACCTCTACACATTCCCTGCCATAGACTCAAAGAAATATTATAACAGTTGGTAAATTTGTGGAAATATTTATTTGTGTATAGTCATATCCAGGGTGGACATTGTTATAGCGTGGACACCTCTGAGAGTATAGCGATGGACATAATAAAGAAGCAGGTGTTTCCTTRTCTCTTCTTTACCTTTCTATGTTAAATGATTCCTATCATGTACTCATCCTCCAGGGATGCTGAGCAGGTGACCCTGGCCAGAGTGTAATGTAAAGTCCTTTATTTATTTATTTACTTTTCTACTTGAGTATCCTGAAGGCTAACACTGATGTTCTTTGGTGGACAAGATCTGTGAGGAACTAAAACCTTCTTCTTTCCAACAAATAAAGCTTTAAAGCACTAAGTATAGCCTGCTGTTAGAGAATCAGTGTGTCGTAACTTCCAGGACACATTATTGCAGTAAACACTGCTACAAGCTGATCAAACCATGGCTTGATTAATTTGACATTCAGATTTGTCGCTCTGCTCCCTAATGGTCTGCCTAAATCTACAGAGCAACTGCAGTGTGAATACATATTCAAGTGTTCCTGATGTGCTTCATCTGCAAAAAATATATATAGAAAGGCATTACTAAATGCTAAATAATTACTAAATGCCTGTTAAGCACAGACTGTAGCCATTCTAGAGAATCTTGTCAAATACTGTACAGTCATAGGGAGACATGACATGTCTCTTTGAATGTTGCTTGGACATGATTATATTTTTGTGGCTGATTGGACATAATGTCGACTTACATGCTGATTTTTATCTCCAAGGCAAGATAGTAAAATCACCTATACTCTCGTGAGAAAGCAGCAGTGAAATAAGGCAGAATCAGTTTAAGTGGATCCATCGTGGATCTCTCCATCTCAGCTASAAGCTTAAAAATATTGTCTTCTCTTTTCCAGAGCTCTAGTGTTCTTTCCAGTCGTTGTGAAGAGGCTCAGTAAATGCAATCTGCTGTTCTGGAAGAAACACTGAGAGCGTAAAGAGAATAGGGTAATATCTCAGCTAGAGGGCTCCATATGTTGGTGACAAGGTATAGTATACTGGGAAAGAAATAAGATTAGAATTCTTCTAAGTACCTATGAGCCACACGTAATACAAGGAAGGAAATAACATTTTCTAAATGTGCCAAAAATACAGGTGAAAAATCTTTACTTGAGCACAGGCAGACAGGAAGCCAGAGTTAAAATAGCATTGGAGATATGCATTATTGTAATTGGAAATTATTAAAAAACTCCTAGCATTTCTCCCAAAGGACCTGATCTTGAGCACTATCACAGAATCAATTGTTCTACAGATAAATGAGTAAATGCCAGTTCTATGCAAAAATCTACTAATCTGTTAGCAGATTTGTTTCCAGTTATCAGAAGAAATGCAATTATATTCAAGGATGAATAGAGAGTATGTTGGATGGATGTTATTTGCCTGTATTTAGTTCTTTTCCTCAAAATAAATATTCAGAAGAGAAACAAAGGAAAAAMGTTAATATATCCCCTTGTGACCTATCACATGCTGTACTTGTGCCATGTAGGCCAGTGGTGCCCAGGAAAAAACAATTCAAAAGACTGCAGAAGTGAGCAAGTTTTATCTGGGGAGTCAGGATTGCTCTAAACTGCASCTGGCAGGCACACAGCAATATTGGGAGATCATTATTTCTGGGCCCAGTCTGTGGCTGGATGTGGGCACCAGCTCTGGGYATGCACTGATATCTGGTTTTCTCATTCAGTTCCTAAATCAGGCCGCATTTCTAGAGAGTGGATGAAGTTGTCACTCTTACAGGTAAAATACAATACAATCTTCTATTCAAACAGTACTAAAAGTGATATGTTATTATAATTTTTTTAAATGTGAAGAGCTGCAAATGAAACAGGTACTTCACTGAATACATGTGTTGGTAAGATTAATGCTAAATGTATCTACTAAATGTATTAGGTTGCTGAACTTTTGATAAGTCTTAATAAAAGCACTTTTCGACATCCAAGTCTTGGTCAGATCTGACTAGTTTTTACTAAAGCAAATTATCCTTGTCTTTGAGCAGAGTCTGTATGAATGAAAACAGAGTAAAATCAGGTGAGAGCTCAGTGTTATTTAAACAACTGTGACACATTGTATCTTGCCGTAAGAAATCATTATCATGCAACAGAAGGGTAATGTTGCTGCTTAAGTATAGCTTGAATTCAGTCTGTCAAAAAGGCTTCTGCCTATTCTGAATTTTTAAGTCCCATCATCCTTCAGCTTAATGATCCTTTAATATCAGCCTGGCACTCTGCAGAATATCTCAGAAGTTAAGTACTTACATATACATGGGCTGCAGCTGTAAATGAGATGTCTTCTGTGGGCCTTGATAGCCGTAAGAGTCAAACCCACCTATAAAATCAACTAAAGAGGGGGAGAAATAGCTTTCATTAGCAACATCTTTTCAAAAGAGATAGGCACCATCATTCAAGAACCACCCAACACACAGATTATTTTTGATGGACTCCTTAATAATCTCTTAAAATTAGACCATCTAATTATAGAGGTGCAAAAAAGGGTAGAAATGAAAAAAAAGAGCAAAGCCTCCAGAGTAATGATTTTGAATTAAYCACAGAAAGACAATAAGGGATTTATAAAAGCCATCTGTCTGTCAGATAGAGCTACATATTGCGCTCTTTCAACTTGACCACCTCACACAAAGCAATGCTCTATTTGGATATTACAAATGCTGCAAAGCATTTATTTATTGGCAAAAATGCATTGCTTCTGCCTGCGATTACTGTGTCAGGCTTGCTGACACACTGTGGTGCAGGGATGTAGGGTAGAAAGCACATTGATCCTCCTCGGTTTGAGAGACAGAATTTCTCTGATTCCCTGCTCTGACATTTGGGTGGAAATGCACAAGCAGAAGGCTGGAGCAATTCACCTGAGCTTCAGGGCTGAGACTTCACAGATCTAAGGAAAGCAGCATTTCTCTCAAGACACTGGAGGTCTATAGGAAATTTGGAGGGGGATGTTATTAATTCACACCACTGCCAGTTCTCAGTGGTCTTCTCATGTTTATTTTAAACARTTTCCAGGGTGATTCAATCTCCTCTGAGCCCAAGACCCCTGCTTTTCTGCTGAAGCACATTCTTTGCACTGATAAAAGTCTGCCCTTTGCTTCCTTTACACCAGGACCCATGTACCGGCTTTGAGGGGTTATTTGTGGGCAACAATCCTCCCTGAAATGCCATCTCTTACATACCAGATGTGAATTAAACTTTACTGAGAAAGAAAAAAGACAAAGAGTCCAGATACAGACGTGCCTTCTTCGCAAGTCTGGGCACTTCTGCTATCTGTACACACTGGCTGTGTGTACATCAAAAGTGAAAAAAAAAAACAGAAGAAAAAATCTTTGGTATCAGATAAATTTTTATGGATCTAAAATGAAGTAATATTCACATAAACATTCATGAAACATGAATTTACAGCCCTTGATTTAAGACCTTTCACAGTGGATGGGGTCCTTRCTATTTGCATTTATGAGATTATTTTGTTTTAAGCTGTCTGTCAATGTGTTCCACACTGAGCAGTGCATTCAAAGTTGGTTCAGGAGTGCTACAAAACCAAATTCTTGTGCCCCTATTTCTACCGTCTAGTTTCCAAGCAAATAGCTACCAGAACAACAGCCTGGACAGCTGGGATATGTCCMAATTGCCAAGGTGCTCATGTTGAAACTGCCTTCTACCTTCTTCCCTGGCCACAGTGGAAGGAAATTTTCCCAAGGAAATCTCCTAGTCTATCCTGAGCTCTGTGTCGGTATTAAAAATACCGGTATMCCAGAATGATGCTTTACTAAATTAATCCCTGATATATCTAATAAAGGAGTTCCTATAGTCTATCTGTGTTGCCTCTCCCTGTGCCTAATTTACTAATGTCTAATTTAAATTTAATTTCCTGCAAATTAACTACTTCTCTATATTTTTGTCTTTTTTTCCCAATAGACATGAAGACAAATGAGCCTTTATTTTTTTTTTTCTTTTATAACTACTTTCAGCATTTTTTAAAAAAGTATTTTCAGGTTATCTATCTTTTCTAGATTTAAGCCCAGCTATTTTTTTTTTCATTTTTTTTCTCATGACCCATATTTTCCAAACCTTTTTATCTTCTCTTTTGATCCTTTCTCAGACCACTTATATGTCTTTTAAAAGGTGATGCACAAATCAGGAATAAGTGGTACAAACTGCCACAGAGGTCTTGGATATAAGATGTCAATATGTATGTATACATGCATACATATATAATTTATTTTATATACATATATTTACCTTTTGACATCAGTGGCAGTGTAGCCAGTTAATTCTTATTTTGTCTGAATACATTAGATTGCTCCTTCTCCCCATGAAGTTATTTGTATTTTTTTTTTATAGGGTTTCATCTTCTTGATTTGAGGTCACTTCTCAAGATCATTTGGAGTTCTAATCTTATGTTCATAAGTGTTTGAATCCCTTCCAGTCTAGCTTCCTCTGCACTTTATACACACACACTCACACACACACACACACACACACACACATTCTCTTTTCTTTCATTCTTGATGCTAACTAAAATAATGAAGAGAATTATTTCACTGCTAGAATCCCACTGGGATCTCATTTGAAATGTCATCCCTGCTGGTTAGTAACCAAATTTTAAATACAATTCTGTGTACAACTTATGAKGATTTTATCTGTGATTTTATTTGTGCCACCCTGACCTACTTGCAAAAAATTCTTAGGATCTAATTCTGTTAAAATTAGGATAAATCCCATTTATTTCTTCCTACTTACTCACCATCTGTAATCGTCTGAATAACTTTATGGCAACAYAGTCATGTCATTGGAAGCATATTAAGTTTATAAGCTGAAATGAAGAATTCCTTTTGGATTATTGCTGAATGAAGTGCTAGGCTGGGCGAATGTGAAAAAAACTCTTATTCAAATGCAAATATCACAGCAAAAGGAATGGAAACATTTTGCTTCAACTACGCTTTGTTGGATTTTGTCCAATTTTCTCTTCCCTACTCCTGACCTCTGCCAACACAAGCAGAMAGTATGTGTGTTGGACTGAATGCTCAGCTGGTGTCAAGTTTTGCCACTTTATGAAGCTTATCAGAATATTTGCCCTTTGCATTTTTTGTGAGCTTCCCAAGAGCCTTCAGGCAACCAATACATCATTTTTACAAGTTTATGGGCATGTATCCTCTCTTTGGCAGACATATAGTGGAATGTTTAAAGGGTGTTTTTAGGGTCATCTTAAAAAAGCTAATCTAATATATTAATAAAAAGAGTTCTGGAACGGAAAGAAGTTCGCGGACATAGGAGAAGGATGGGAGCCTGTGTTTTCTGTAAGCACCGTGTCTCTGCTCTGTCGCACAAAGTAAACACAAAGTGTTAACAAGCCAGATTGTGAAGTGACAAACAGGACGGGCTTGTAGACACATTTCTGCTTTAAGCTGACAGTAGGAGATCCCATGTGCATAACCCGATGATGGCAGGGCAGAGGATATTATTGTGACCTTGTTAAAAACATATAGTAGCTTCTTACACACAACAACAGACTTTGCAAGGTAGGCAAAGGAAAAGGTAGATAATAGAGTGGCAAATCCAATGCAAAAGGATTTCTGTACTTTCTCTGCAGCAAGTTTTCCTTTTCCTCATGGTGGCAATTTCTCAGTTAGCACTGCAAAGCCTGTGGTGCCCAGACTGTGTTAAAGGCTCCCTGTGGACTCCGAGCCAGTTTCTTAAAGCATGCAAAATGCTGCCCTTTCTGCAGGCATTTTATCCTGGCTGTGCCTGAAAGGTCACTAAAAGTGTCATACAACTGATATGTTCCTGGCAGCAGTAACATGAGATGAATAAAATAAGGCTTATTAGCGGAAGCGCTACAGATGCTTCCATTCTTAACCTTATCCATCAAACACATTTTTTGACTACAATATTTTACGTTCATCTTACATGTCACTGTTATCAGAAGTGCCTCTTTTGTCATGTTTTGCCTTAGTAAAAGCATACGTACATATACAAACAAATACAGAATCTTGTTCATTTGAAATATTGGCTACTGAGATGCTTACTTCTCTAACTGGACTGCCTTAAATATGATAATAGCTATGATGTTTATATGTAAAATGTGCTATAAGAAATTCAGCCCAGGTGTTTTCTTTCTTTGCTGGTGTTAAGGGGATTATTAGGCATATGACTATGGTTACCACTGTGCCATAAACATTTTTTGAGACATATGGTTCAAAATAGGGACATATTTTCTATTGCTAAGTACCCACAGGGATATGGTGTTTTAGCCTCTGTTCACAGTCACAGTTCCTGCTATCTCCAGTGTATATCAAGACAAGATGAGAGGCATAAATATGTTTTTCATTTCTGATTTCTGGAAGTTGTGGTGTGCAAAGGGACTGAGATACACTTGCACAAAAGAAGATCCCATTAGCATGGATGTGCATATGCGAGAAGGGACTCTACAAAGCTAACAGCAAGAAGCAATAAAACTCAAACCAACAGATGGACAAAGAGAAAAGAAACAGTGTGGAATGAAAGTAACAACAACATTCTCATGTAGAAAGCAAAAGGAAAGATTTTGAAAAGAAATCAAAAGACTGGCTGCTATTCTCCTCATAAAAAGTTTTCTCTGTAAAACATAAATATAGAAGAATAMAGATTCAGCTTCAGCTAATATATAACTTCATAGCTTCAGTTACTTCATTGAATCCATGATAATTTATATTGGCTTAGGATCTGACCCAAAGAGTCATTTAGGGCATGTGGGTTTAGAAATATGACAGACCTTGTGGCTTTCCTTACATTTGAGTAGGCACGCAAAAATCAGTGTAGACTAGATACGAAATAATTTAGAATTCAGGAAACAGGAGGAGGAAGAGTGGCTTTATCTGTAATGGAGACGAAAAGGAAAGGTTGGGAAATAGCCGTGTCCATGGCCAGTCTGTGACCTCCAGCATGGATAGCTTCTTGTCTGTTTTCAGACTCCCTCCTTAGTCTCTTTGCTGTTATTGTTTGTCTTCCTGACTCTCCTTTTCCTGCCCTTGATGCATAAGGCCATATCTCTCATGGCAGTGAATATATTGCCAACGCTCAACCCTGGCTTCACCACAACATCCGCTTCCTGCCCASAGCTCCTTCTTTAAAAGCAAGAATGCCTTTGGCAGTAATTCAGTAACCTGTCTGACTTCTCCTATCACTRATTCATCCTGTCTTCCTTCAATTCTTCCATCTCCCTGAAGAAGCAGCCTGACCCCTCCAGCTCTATTAGTTGCATCCAAGAATCCCCAGTCACCTCCTAGTGCTCCTAGTGCGCTCCACTCCTCCTTCATCCACTTCTTTCTTTGCACACAATTTATCCCATCTCCT